CAAGTTCGGTTTCTATGACTGGCGCTCAATTACTAGACGAACTCGCCCAGGCAGTTCGATCTCTGGTCCAGCTCTACCAACTGAACTACGTTCGACTTGATCCCCGAAAGGGGTACGTAGGCAGCCTTTCATAAGGTTCAGTCCGAAATCATTCAACCTTTTTTTTCCTATCTTTTTCCGTTTTTCGTTATCGAGCTGCTACTCGACTAGATCTAGGGTTTTATGTTTGTAACTCGCTGATGGCCCCTGCGGCCAAAGCCTTTGTAATTCCTTGTAACGATCGCAACGCTCTTACGCGAATCGGAAATAAGATCCACTTTCTTCATAAATTCGTTTTACTATGTTTTTCATATTTTTCCGCATTTATTTGGTTACTTGTCGTTGGCTTTCGCAGAGATCCGGTTCCTCTGGAAAATTAGGGTTTTCCTAAGTTTCCTTATTTAACGAAAATCGACAAGTGTGAATTTCGGTTCCCACAGTTCACATTCTCTTTTATTGACTTGTCTTCTTCCATTTTGTAGTAGGAGAACTACCGTTTCAGATATATCCGGTTTGGAAGAGACTTAAGCTGGTACATATTCTCCAGGGACTTCCACATGCCAAGAGCAGTTTGCTAGTGCATGATTTTCCTTCAGATAGAGTCGCTCAAGCAGGTACCAAGTAAACTTCTGACTCGTAAGTCCTTATCGAACTTCTTCTGGTCGACTTTTGGTTTCTCACCTTCTTCTTGTTTTTCAGAGGTTGAGAAAATTACAAATTCATCTTGTATTACTGCCACAGGAGACCTTGGATCTCAAGCTGTACCATCAATTTGAACTTCCACAACCCGAAGTCTCCCTTCCCGTCAAACTTATCCATCTCAAACTTCTCATGAGTCCACTCTATCTTGAACAGAATAGATGCAGACCTTAAGATTAACTGCACAACAATACCAGAACCAGCACCACACAGCACACAAGCAAGAGATATACGATACCACAGAGATTACGTCTCACCCAATCACAAGATAAGTGGATCATCCCTCTCTCTTATCAGATCTGATCTAACTCTTAGCCTTAGCACCCAACCTGATGCTCTGATACCACTTATAGAGTTTTAGATCGATTTCTTCAGATTCTAACTTGGTGTATACAATTAATAGATTCAATTGTTTTCGTTTTAGGTTTGAGATCAAGTACATAAACAACAACAAGAGATTTGTTCACCTGGTGTTCGCTGAGCTACTCACCGGGGAGGGAATCATATCCCTCAACTTCTTCACTATCAGTTTACGATCACAGGTACAAGATCACAACAATGGTTGTACAAGCCGAAAACAGAGACAAGCTATTGAGAAGTTAGCGAGCTTATCGTATCCTCGGTGAAGCTGGAAAGTCACCGCCGGGATGGTCCGATCTGACCGTGTATCGCGTTCGCAACTCCGTCGCACTTCACTCTCACGATCTCAAGGAAGTCACCTTCTCTTTTGATCTCTCGATCTCTATATGTGTCGTCGTTATTTTCTAATTTTGGACTTAGCCGTTATAACCACCTTATCCACTCAAGAGTTGAAATGAAGAATTTCAGTTAACTGATAGCATACTGGGCTTGCGACTTGGACTGGATTCTTTCTCTGCAGGTTTCAGATGAGATGGACCGTGGAACGCGAAGCCCACTTGGAGTTTTGACGGAACTTTAACCCACAATTTCTGCAATCGTGAAAATGTATAGAACTGTGACATGTGAGTTTGCTCTCTTTTGTATGAATCTAAATATAATCCAATTTCGTCAGCCTGGTTTAGTTTGGATTCAGATTATGATTCAACTGCGAAACGAGCAATATAGGTGTATATAAGAGTTATGTCAACTTGTCAACTAGTCTGGATTACATCAAATCAATACAAAATGTATAACTTGCATATATGGTTCAAAAGTCTAATTAATAAGTGTTGAAAACAAATTGAATCCTTTGAAGATCTATGTTTACTAATTACTAGGATAAGACATGCGCCTTGCACGGGATGAAGTTATTATTTTTATTATGTTTTGGAAATTGAAACAATAGTTCGGTTTCATTTGGATTAGAGGTGTTCAATCCGGTTATTGGGTTTCGGTTCGGTTTGATTTTTTGGTATTTTGGTATTTCGGTTATTAAAATATAACTACTATTCTAAATCCCTATTTACTTCAGTTTGATTTGGTTTATATACCATCGGTTTTCAGTTTATTTAGTTTTATACCAAAAAACATAATTATTTAGTTTGAGATCATATTATATATTATACAAATATATAATATGATCATATTTAGAGTCATATTTTCAAAAGGTCATTATTTAAAAAATATTATATATTTAAATAAAAGAATAAAAAACAAAAAAGACTTCTATCATCTTATAATAATGATCAAATCTAGAATTAATATCAAAGCTCTAAATTTTGAAAAGAAAAAACAAAACAGAAGCATGAAAGAAAAGTTTTTATATTCTTCCATATTTAGTGTTCATCAAATTAATATGTCTTCGATTGATCACAACTCTGTTTGTTTAAAGATAAAAAAAAAAGAAGTTGTAAAGAATTTCAATTAATTGTTGTCCACCAAATTTATAATCTTTACTTCAATTTAGTTACTGTTAAAAAAAAAGCAAAAAGATAAAAGAAAATAAAACTAAGAAAATAAGAAGTCTCAGTTGCAGTAAATTGTTAGTTAATTATAGTTCAAGTGATTCAAGTGATTTACAAATTATAATTATAGTTCAACTCATGCAACAAATAGATATGCATGCGTCGTTATAAATATATACATATTTACATGTTTCAGTTTAATCGGTTATAAAACAAACCATATTCAAATCTTACGGTTTTTATAAAATCACATCCATTCGATTTGTATGGTATATACCAAAAATAACCATATTATCGATTGTTTAATATTTTTAAAAAATATAAAATTAAAAAAAATACTAAGATATTTAAATCATTGATAACAAAAATTTTCAATGTGAAAAATTTAATAAATTTATAATTTATAAATGTTCTTAAAAATTCATTGAAATTTTTGAAATTAAAATATTTATGTAATCTTATATGGTATATAGTTTAATGTATATATATATATTTGTTTTATTATTTAATGATACTTTTTACTCATATTGTTTTAAAATTATGTGTATCTTTTTATAATAAAAATGTTAAACTATTGATCATTAATTTTTAACATAATAATTTTAATAGTTTTAGTCATTTATTCTCGTTTTTTAATTCAAAATATAACATATACGAAAAAATCTAAAGTTTAAATTTTTAGCTAATTTGATTGTTTAATTTATTTTAATAATATAAAATTAAAGAAAAAATGATGGAGGAGATATAAATTGTTATCAAATATTTATTATTAGAATTATTAATTGTCATATATATATATTAGTCATATATGGTAATTCCGTAGCTTTAATTTAAGCAAAGAAAATAAAATATTAATTATATCTAGCGTAACAATCATAAATGCTTCTATCATAAATATCATATCATATCATCATATCATATAGTTTGATCAATGTTTGTATCTAACGACATATAAAAAATCGAATGTGGACCTACTTATTTTTCAATTGAATCTAATTGACTACTTAATTGAGTGACACCTAAGCATAAGATCTTTTTTAATTATTACAAAATTGAAGTTGCAATTTTTTAAATGTTTTTCTTTTAATACATAGGGGATATGCACTTTCAACGCATAACATACATGTATGGTAATTAATTAGAAATTAATAATTTAAAAGATCTAAACAATGTTATTTGGGAAATAAATCCTATAAAATCCCCTATATATTTTAGCATTAATGCCCATATATATATTTTCTACATATTAGTCTAAAACGCAATTGACTAGTTACAAATGTTACATATTGTCTATCTTGGCAATTCGTTTTTCATAGTATCAAAAAGAACAATAATCTAATCTTTTTGGGTTTTGTTCATGAGAAACTAAACAAGATCTTCAGATCCAAGACCTGCAAACTGTGGAAATGAACAAGAAAGGATTTAACCAGAAACCACGTTCTAAACTAGTCGTCTCTTTCTTCATTGTTTTTTTCATTCTCATCCTCGGTGCTTGGATGCATATGGTACTAACACTCTTTCTCATCTTCGCATCATTTTTAATCACATATATATATATATGTGTGTGTGTGTTTTGTATAGTTAAATCTTGAGGGTTCGCATAGTTTGTAATAGGTAAGAGTAGAATCCAGTTAATGATGGCGACATCAACAGTGGCTGTAAGTACAAAGAAAACCATCAAGATTCCATTAAACTGCAAAGACACAACACAAACATGTCCCTTAAACTATACAATCAGATTCAAACCAGTCACCTCTTCCTCGGAAACTTGTCCTGACTACTTCAGATGGATCCACCAAGACCTAAAGGTATGGCAAGAGACAGGGATCACAAGGGAAACACTTGAGAGAGCAAAACCTAACGCTCATTTCAGGCTTGTGATAAAGTCAGGGAGATTGTATCTTCATCAGTATGATAAATGTTACCAAACAAGAGATGTGTTCACAATTTGGGGAATACTTCAACTTCTAAGAATGTATCCTGGTCAAGTCCCTGATCTTGAGCTACTCTTCCTCTGCCATGATCAACCTGGCATTTGGAAGAAGGATTATAAGCAAGAAGAACCAAATTCCACATGGCCTCCTCCGCCACTGTTTCATTACTGTAGTCACCGTGATGCATACGACATCGTCTTCCCTGATTGGAGCTTCTGGGGTTGGTAAGTACGTAGCAGTTTTATTAATGGACCGTAGAGTAAGATAAACTTTTTATTAATTATTGTTGTATAGGCCGGAGGTGAATGTTAAGGAGTGGACAACGTTATCAGCGGCGATTAGAGAAGCCAACGAAAGGATTAGATGGAAAGACAGAGTTCCGTACGCTCACTGGAAAGGGAACTCATACGTTTCTTTGTTAAGAAGAGACCTCATGCAATGTAACTTCTCCGACAAGTATGATCCCATGGTTCATCTCTATGAACAGGTATATGTCCATCCATTTACAGTATCCTGTTTAAGTTTGTCCCGAAGAAAAGTTTTTGGAGTTATCAAAAACGTAACGGTGCTTTCAGGACTGGGACAAGGAGAGGGGGAATGGTTTCCAAAGTTCAAACCTAGAAGACCAATGCACCCATAGGTACTTGATGATACTATATATTAATATGTTACTTTTTGAATTTTGCTTCCTATAGTTATTCACATTTTGATTGGACATTTTAGGTACAAGATTTACATAGAAGGTCGTGCATGGTCGGTGAGCAAAAAATATATATTAGCATGTGACAGTATGGCTCTACTAGTTAAACCAGAGTTCTTCGATTTCTTTGGAAGATGTATGGTTCCGTTGGAACATTACTGGCCCATTAGACCTCAAGAGACCTGTCGTGACCTCAAGTTTGCCGTTGAATGGGGTAACAACAACTCTGAAAAGGTCAGCTAATAGTCCTAGACTAATGAGACTTACTTTTGATCACAGATTAATATGACAATGAGCAATACTAGATTACCATTATCTTGTTAATTCTGTAATATTCTATATTAAAGACATCAGGGTGTTATTATAAATATACGCAGGCGCAAGAAATAGGGCGACGAGGAAGTGAGTACATGATGAAGAGCCTAGAGATGAAGTATGTGTATGACTACATGTTGCATGTGTTGCAAGGATACGGGAAGCTGATGAAGTTGGATGTGACCGTCCCTGAAAATGCGACCGAAGTGTGTTCGGAGACGATGGCTTGTCCGATCACTGATGGTGGAATGATTAGGCAATGCATGGACGAGTCGTTGGTTATGTATCCAAGCGTCAAGGCGGCTTGTGACTTACCGCAGCCTTATGGAGATGATGAGCTCAAAAGGTTTCTTGATAAACAAGAAAGTGCAGAGAGACATGTTGAGAAGTTGGCCAATGAGTATTGGGAGGTCCAAAACAAGATTCTTCAAAAAAGAAAGATAGTATAATTTATCAGGATTGATTTAATTGATATACATAAAACTAATTTCTTTAAAAGTTTCTGGAATGACAGAGGCAACTAATGTTTCATTTGACTAATGTTTTGCAACTAATGTTTTTATTTAAGACCAAAACGAATGATTGATTTGGAGTCGTGATTATCTATACTATTATTTGAGAAGTGAATTTTCGTAACGCAGCTCTCACGTTAAAAGTTAGAGTGGTTAATATCGTTTATACCCTTAATGAATAAATATATAAATCATCTAATAATAAAAATGAATTTAATATTTATTTGATTAGATAAATTATTTAAGTTACTAACAATGATAAGAATTATCCATAATCTAAATATATATTTAAAAATAAAAAGATAATTTCTATATATATTGTGTTGTTATCCAAAAAATATATTTAGTCAAAAAATTCAAAAAAAAAACACATAAATAAATATTCATAAATTAAAATTTTTAATTGTATATACTAGAAAATAGAAAATTAAAAAATTATAATATATTGTATTATTATCCAAACTAATATTATTCTTTCTGTAAGATCAATTTTTGAATGTATATTTCTTGATTCAAATTTTCAAATTGAAAGATAAATTTCTATATTTTTATCAATTAAGAAGAAAGGAAATAGACTAGATTTTTTAAAGCTTAAAAGGAAGAAGTAGATTTATTTTAATTTGTGAATAACTTTATCATATAAAATAGTTTAATATTTTAGGTTAAATTTTTTGGATACAAATAATCATTTATTTAGATGATTTTTTAAATTGATTTAAAGATAATTAAGCTCGCATGTGCGGACAAAACAATTAGTAACAGATAAGCGCGTTGCGTAGTCTTTAATTAAACACGGTCAACGTTTAATGAACACCAACAGTTTCCACCAGAAAGAAAAACCATTTGCCTAGTTGCCTTGTATACAAGTCTCCACGACCTCACAAAGTCTTTAAGAAGCTGTAACATTTTTGCTCTGTCTCTCATGAGAAACAGAAAAAAAATACAAATCGATTTCTTTTGTGTAAAACTAAATGAGTAACCTAAAACTTGGTGTTGAAGTCATAAGCGCAAGGCTCGGAGAAGGTGCTAACTCCTTTGTGGAGCTACGATTCGACGATCAGAAAGTCAAAACCTCGACAAAGCTCGAAGATTCGTGTCCTGTTTGGAACGAGAAGTTCTTCTTCAACATCTCCAATACAGAGGATCTATCGAACCTGGTTCTTGAGGCTTACGTTTACAACAAAACCAGCAACATAACGAAATCTTGTCTTGGTAAGATACGAATCTTAGGAACTGCGTTTGTGCCCTACTCTGAAGCTTCCGGGTCGCATTACCCTCTTGAGAAAGAGAAATGGAGCCTCTTCTCTTTCGCATCCACCAACAGAGGTGAAATCGCTCTCAAGGTGTTTATAACTGATAACCCCTCCCTCAAGATACCGATTCTAAACCCTAAAAATAAGGTTACGTCTAACACAAGGCATAGATTCCACAACATCCCCGCGGCAGATAAGACTGAACCTAACCTCCAAAGAACTCAGCAACCGTCTCAACCGCAAACGCCATTTCCTCAACCGCCTCAACCGCAAACACTATTTCCTCAACCGCATACGCCATCTCCTCAACAGCCACCAGTTATCGAAACTGCCCCATTTCAACCGGTCAGTTATGGTTCTCCGGTACTTGGAGGAGGCCTACGAGCACGAACCACCACCGGTCACGATCTTGTCGAGCCAATGGAGTTTCTGTTCGTCAAGATCGTGAAAGCTCGGAATCTTCCGACCATGGACCCGACAGGAAGTCTAGATCCTTACGTAGAAGTCAAACTCGGAAACTTCACGGCGACAACGAAACACTTCGAGAAAAACAAGAATCCCGTTTGGAACGAAGTCTTCGCTTTCACCAAATCAGACCAACAAGCAAACTTTCTCGACGTCATCATCATGGACAAAGACGTCATCAAAGACGACTTCGTCGGTTCAATCCGGTTTGATCTCAATGAGATTCCGACACGTGTTGCAACAGACAGCTCGTTAGCTCCGGAGTGGTACATAGTCAACCACGAGAGAGGAGGAGACATTATGCTGTCTGTTTGGTTTGGTACACAAGCCGACGAAGCGTTCTCAGACGCGACTTTCTCAAACGCTTTAAATGCTCTAAACAAATCGAGCGTGCGATCTAAAGTCTATCATTCTCCGAGACTATGGTATCTCAGTGTTAACGTTATCGAGGCACAAGACTTGGTAATCGTAACAGATCGGGCTCGGTTTCCAAATCCTTACGTCAAAATCAAGTTAGGTAACCAGATGGTCCGAACCAAACCGAGTCCATCGCTTAACCCGAAATGGAACGAAGAGTTTACATTTGTCGCAGCTGAACCGTTTGAAGAACTTGAAATCTCTATAAAAGACCGAGAGGAAACGCTTGGAACGGCTAAGATACCGTTTGATGAAATCGAAAGACGGGTTGATGATAACCGGACAGTGCCTAACCGTTGGTTTAGTCTTGCGTTAGAGGGACAGAGGAGAGTCAGATTTGCAACGACTAGGATTCTTCTGAATGTTTGTTTAGAAGGAGGCTACCACGTTCTTGATGAGTCTACTTACAACAGCAGCGACTTCAGACCGTCGATGAAGGAACTCTGGAACCGACATGAGCCTTCGGTTGGTGTTCTTGAGTTAGGGATATTAGGAGCTGAAGGTTTGAGTCTGAGCCAAGATGGGAAGAAATATACGGTTGATGCTTACTGTGTGGCTAAGTATGGGACCAAATGGGCCAGGACACGGACCGTTATGAACTGTATAAGCCCACGGTTCAACGAGCAGTACACATGGGAGGTTTATGAGCCAGCAACTGTGATAACAATCGGTGTTTTCGACAACAATGGGACTAATGGTGGTAACAACAAAGATGGGAAGATTGGGAAAGTCAGAGTTAGAATCTCAACTCTTGAATCAGGAAGACTCTACACTCATTCGTACCCTCTTCTTGTTCTTGGACCTTCAGGTGTCAAGAACATGGGTGAACTACATTTGGCGATTCGGTTTACTTGTACATCCATGTTTCAGATGCTTCTTCATTACTGGAAACCGCTTCTTCCCAAGATGCACTACATTAGACCATTGAAAGTAGTGCAGCAGGAGATTCTCAGGCAGCACGCTGTTAACCTAGTGGCAGCTCGGTTAAGCAGAACCGAGCCGCCACTTAGGAAAGAAGTGATTGAGTACATAACCGATTCGAACTCTCATTTCTGGAGCACTAGGAAAAGCAGAGCGAATCTCTACCGATTAAGATCGGTTTTCTCCGGTTTACTCGGAACCGGGGAATGGTTTCAAGATATCTGCATTTGGAAGAAACCAGTAGCGTCTATAGCGGTTCATGTAGTCTACTTAGCATTTGTATGTTTACCAGAGATGATTCTTCCAGTAATATCTCTTTGGTTGTTCATGCTTGGAGTATGGAACTACAGGTTGCGTCCGAGACAACCTCAACACATGGACACAAGCCTCTCATTTGCTGACAACATTCACCCTGAAGAGCTCAACGAGGAGTTCGATACGTTTCCATTATCTTCTCAAGACCCGGGGGTTGTTAAAATTCGGTACGAGCGGTTGAGGAGTATCGCTGGTAGAGCTCAGACGCTTGTGGGGGATATAGCAGGTCAAGGAGAGAGAGTTCAGGCTCTGTTAAGCTGGAGAGATCCAAGAGCAACGTCCCTCTTCATGGTGATTTGTTTGGTTTCTTCTGTGGTTCTGTTTGTTGTGCCGTTTAAGGTTTTTGTTCTTCTAGGTGGATTATACATCATGAGACATCCAAGATTCAGGAGAAAGACACCTCCTGGTCTGGTTAACTTCTTTAGAAGACTTCCTGCTAAAACAGACTGTATGTTGTAGAATGCAGAAAAACATATAAATTGAAACACACATGAGTTCTGAAAATCACTACAAGGTCTTTTGTTTCCTAAACATAACTAAAAGACAATTCTCTCAGAGAGGTTAGCTTAAAGTCTTTTGTCTCTTCTTCTTCTCCTAGAATTTCAATGGTTATATTCACACATGAATCATCATCCGCGCATTAGATCAATATCCATATGAGCGTGATGCATATCCATTGATCTTGAACCTGTTGACCACATGCCTACAGGAGTCTGAACAAGGTTCTGCGGAACAGGAGGAGACGTTGGTGCTGCTGTGTTGTCGTTGTTCTCCAAAGCATCAGCGTCTTGGACATCTTCAGAAGTTTCATCTCTTTTTTTAACCTTCCCTTTTGGAACCGCCCAGAGGAAGCTCCCAACGATAACCTTATTAAGGAGGCAACACACAAGTTTATTAAAATGAATCACGAAAGAAGTTTGATGATGCTTACAAGCAGAGCTCACCTGAACATGGCTTGCTGCTATCAGAGGCCCTCCGATTCCACCACCAATGACACGACCATCAGGGCTAGCGAGTGAGACGGCTAGGTTTCCAGTGCGGTTTGTGTATTCATTCTCCGTTGTGTTCAGATAAGAAAGTGACAGAGATACAAGCTCGAAACGACCCTAGAGATTATATATAGCATACACACCAACATGAGTAGTGTTTCTAAAGCACTGAGGATAACAACAATAATAATCAAACCTCGTAGGTTATAGCTCCATGAGATGGTGCTGGCTGAAGAAGAGTTGCAGTAGACACTGCGCCAATAGCGGATAATACACAAATAGCTCTTGGACCTTGCTGAGAAAAAGACATAACTTTTGATGCAATGTCCTGAAACACAACAACACAGAGAGTGTGGTTTTGAAAAAGACTTATCACAAGAAACCTAAGAGAACAGAATCTGATCACAAGAACAACATACTTCACCAACGGAAACTACGATTACGTGAGGCGTGAAGCTCATCCCTGACGATGAATGCATCAATTCACCTTACAGAACCAAAAAAAAAAAAGATCACAAATTTAGGACACAAGTTTAGTAACACATAGCTTAAAGAGAAAGGCCCTGTAATAAAAGATTATATATTGAATTAAAAATATTACACTTGACATTAAAAAATTACAAAGCTTTAATTAATAATTAGTCATTAAAAAGAGCTCCATTAACTTCCCAACATAGCTCATAAACTATATATATAACTCAACAAAGCTCACAACTTTCCAGTGTTCAAAGCCAATCACCTTAGCTGAAGACATACATAATGAATAGAGAGAAAGAGAGGGTTTTTACCGATGGAACTAAGCCTTTGCTTCTTGCCGGAGCCAGGAGGTCTTCCACGACCACGTTTGTTAGAATTTGGGGATAGAGAGGAGGCTGAAGGAGACAATGCTAAAGAAACAGAACCGTCTTGTCCGTATTTCCTAGGCCTTCCTCTCTTCCGCTTCACAGACGTCTCACCAGAGGGAGGAGGAGCAGCCACCGCTGAAGACTCGGCTAGAGAAGACTCAATTGGTAAAGGAGGAGACACGAAACCAGTGGAGCCGCCGCCTCCTGGGTTCTGGTTCGGGTTTGACCCGAAAGGGGGGTTGGGGTTGGAGAAATGGTGAAACCCTTGCGACCCATGAAACGGCTGTTGAGTCTGCGGAGGAGGAGGAGGAGGAGGTCCCGGACCAGGCATGCCTCTTTGGATGTAGTAAGAACCTGACCCGGATAACCCCATTGCTTCTCTTCGATCCATAGCTTCTGAATGGTTCGGTCTTTGTGGCTAATGGCTACTAAAAGGAGAAGGAAAGATCTGATTTTATGGATAAGAACAAAATGAGAAAAAGACTTCAAGGGTAAGTTAACATGCAAACAGAAAATCTCTCAAAGCTAATCAACAACACAAACTTTGATTTAACCTAATTGGGTTATGTATGTAGCTTTTAGTATCAAGAAGAGAAAAGGTCAATTTTCATTCTCTCAACAGAGACAAGAAATGAGATAGGAAGGAGCTTTCTCACTCCATCAACAATGGTGAAGAAAGGGTTTTCTTTCTCTCTCTCTAGGTTTTCTTTGTAATGTGCTGTTGCTTTTTTTTTGCTTTACTGGGTGTGACAGAAGGAAACAGAAGGAAACAGAAGAAAACAAAAAACTATCAATCAGATCCCTCACCTTCCTGCTGTGTTGAATGTATTTACTGTACAGTGAGATGATTTTCAAATTCAAAATTCAAGATTTTGATGTCTGACTTTGACTATAAGCTCTCTCTCTCTCCCTAGTAGACTTCTTTCTAGCATCTAGCCATTCATAGGCGTGTTTGTGGCTCATTTCAAAAGCTATTGTATTGATAGAGGGCGCGTGTGTCAAACTAAACATGAGAGATGAGAGAGTGAAGCTCACTCTCAAGCAAATGGAGAGTGAGAGAAAGTGATGTGATGTAGTCAATACTTGTTCCTCTCTGGCTTCCACTTCATATCTATTGATGAATAAATATGATGATAATTTTTTTTGCCAAAGCTTTCACATGAATTTAAACTACACATTTCATTAAGAGAACTATACATTCATTAAGAGAACTATGAATCACATGTACTCTACTGCCTGCGTAATATATATCAAGTGGTTACTGTTCTTGAATAATGTATCAGACAATCTTTAAGACCCCAATAATGTATCAGACAATACAGAATCTGAACTTCAGAGCTCATGTGAAGATTAACAATTAATATAGGTTCCTCAACTTAATTTTCAGTAATGAACAAAACCGATTCCAAAAGCTTAAACCTATAAAGATTTAAGGTTTAAGAGCCATTACATACAAGCTTTCCAACAATAATGGAACAACAATTAGTGTAGTGTGGGTTTTAAGCAATTATGTGTTTCGTATGTGACAAAGGTATGCTTTATCATTTGTCAAGCTCCACTATATGGGTTAGGTCAGAGCACATTTACCTGGAACCAAAAACTTGTACTGTAAACTAGAACTGGAAAAATAATTAGAATCAGAAAAAAACACCAAAACCTAAGTAAAACTGTTTTTTTTTTTATCAAACTAGTTAAATATCCAAACGGTTCAAAATAATGGTAACTAAGGAATTGTAACCAAACCTGATCTGAAACGAAATCGAGTATCTGAATATATATGAATCGTATTTATTTATTTAAATATCTTATATTAAATAATCCATAATATAATATATTTTAAAAAATTTCAAAATAATTTAAATTAAAGATAGTTCAAAATAAATATCTAAAGTAGTTAAATAATACTCAAAGCACCAAATAATACTTTAAAATATCCATTGACTCTTTATCCAAATTTTTAAACTAGCTCGAATTTTATGTTAAGATTAGGTATTTTGACATATATTAAAATTTATGTTATAATATCATTATTTTTAGATTTTAAGAAATTAAAAAGATATATAAATTTAGTTAAAAAATTAAATAGGTTATCCGAACCCGGACTGAATGAACCAAACCCGCAAAGATCTGAACTTGATCTGAATCTGAACCAAAATTTATAAATATTCAAATAACGTTAAAATGTTTAACTTCAAAAATCAAAACCCTAAATGATTCCAAGTGAAATCGAACGGATATCCGAACGGGTACCCGAACACCCATGTAAACCTAATCAAATTTTAGAAATATCTTAAAAAAATCTTACCTCTGTAAAATCCAAAAACTGAAAAGTTCAAACGGTAGCTAATTTGACGAAAATAAATAAAATAAAATAAAATGGTAGCTATTTTATTATTTAGTGTCTTTCTCCTAGCTGAAAATCAACATTTAATGTTCCTCTCACTAACACAACTTTGATAGCAAAATCAAACAGACTATGTATCAAGAACTAATCTAGAAGACTATGAATTATGGTCAGATATTTATTCTCTCTAAACGACACCATCTCCAAGAAACTTTCGTGGACAGGAATAAGCCTGGTTTAGAACACTATAAGGCCCCAATATAAACTCCCAAAACGGTACCGTATTAATGCAGAACGTAAACAATCCTTGATCAACCGTTTGAACGACCTTTTTAATCTATCATCACTAGTTCACCTCTCTCCTTACACACCTCATGTCTCCTTTTCATCACTGTTCCTCTGCATCATCTCCCTCTCTACCAAACCCTAAACCCTTAATATATCAGGCCATGAATCTATCCATTTCTTGCGAGTCAAGATTCCCTATATTCTCCACTAAATTCCGCAAAACCCTCCATCTCAAGCCTCCACGCGTCTCATCAGGCCCTGAACCAGGTACACAAACCCTAACCGAGAAGCTCATCTTGCTCCTCAGAGCTGTCCCTGACTGGGCAGATGAGATCAAAGAGCGTGGGATGCAGCAGAAACGAACGCTCTACACTCACGAGAAATGGGTCGAACACAGAAGCTCTCTCCGCCACGTGCGTCACTTAGTCTCCTCCTTCTCTTCGCGTGTTATACTCTCTCTCATCCCTCCTGTCTTCTTCTTCACCTCCGTGGCCGTCGTCATCGCGAGCTACAATTCAGCCGTGGCTTTGGACTGGCTTCCCGGTATCTTCCCTATACTCAGATCATCCTCGCTGCCGTATCAGCTCACGGCTCCTGCTCTAGCGCTGCTTCTCGTGTTCCGCACGGAAGCTTCGTATTCTAGGTATGAAGAAGGGAGGAAAGCTTGGGTAAGGATCATTGCTGGTACTGATGATTTAGCTAGGCAAGTGATTTGTTCTGTTGATGGGTCTGGTGATGAGTTGGTTATTAAAGATTTGCTTCTTCGTTACATTGCAGCTTTCCCTGTGGCTCTTAAGGTAATAATTGATAGGTTGTGTCTTAATGTTTTGGCTTTGGTATTTGTGGACTTTTGTAATAAAAGTTTTCTGTTGCAGTGTCATGTCATTTATGGTTCAGATATTGCAAGAGATCTCCGGAACTTGATTGAAGCTGATGACTTGTCTCTGATTCTTGAGTCCAAGCATCGTCCTCGTTGTGTAATCGAGTTCATTTCTCAGAGCATTCAGCTGCTCAAACTAGACGATACAAAGAGAGATTTGTTGGTAGCTTTCTTTAACCATTTTGGTATATGCTTCTTGAAACCATTTGGCACCAACACATGTTACCTTGTGCCACTTTAGGAATCAAAGATGTTGCATTTACATGAAGGGATTGGAGTGTGTGAACAGCTAATGGGCATTCCGATTCCTCTCTCTTACACACGTTTAACCTCGAGGTTTTTGGTTTTTTGGCATCTGACTCTCCCTATCATTCTCTGGGATGAATGTCACTGGATTGTTGTTCCTGCTACTTTCATCAGTGCTGCGTCTCTCTTCTGCATAGAAGAAGTACATATTCCTTCTCCACTCTCACAATACCAGTTTATATTACATCCCTTTATGCTTGAAATCTCATAACTATCGAACCAAAACTCTGCAGGTGGGTGTTCTTATAGAAGAGCCATTCCCGATGTTGGCCTTAGACGAACTTTGTGATCTTGTGCATAGTAACATCCAAGAAGCTGTTAAATCTGAGACTATCATACGTAACCGGATCCTTGCAAAGATAAAGCTCCATGAACTCAAGCAGTCACCTAATGGTCGGCATAGATCTTAATTTTCCCACTGTTGTGAGTGATGGCAATCTGATGCATTTTGTCTTCCTTAAGAGGGGTTTGGAGTAAGTGATGGCTTAGGTTAGCTTTGATATATACATATTGTATAGAAACACTTTATACGAGTTGCTAGGAAAACTCTTTACCTTAATGTTTGTATATCTTCTTGGTGTATATGTATATATGCATACAAAGACAATATTTTGGTTCTTGATTGTTCACTCTAGAAACAAACTACATTGTTGAATATTTTGTATACAACTTGAGCATAGTAATCTTTCAATGTGGTCGGCTTGCAAACATGAACCGATTACAATGGACTACTGAAGTTACCTTCTAACTTAGTAGTTGTGTTCCAGGAGGCGGTAAATAGCTATGCAGTTTCTGCATCTTCCTCTTGAGTTCCTCTAGTTTCTCCAATTCGTCTGTGCTTGATAAGGAGGTCTCTAACATTCTCAAGACTGGTTCACTCACACACCTTCCTCTCTCCACTGTCTGCCTCGAGCATTCAAATGCATCATTGGCTCTTCTTCGAGCACACAGTGCAGTTGTAAGAAGTTCCAACGCATGGCCATGAGGGCAATACCCTTTCTCCAGCATATACTTCCACAAGTCTAGTCCTAAATTGACTTCACCATTCAGACAAAACAGCTTCATCAGCATAACAACAGTCGGTGTCTTCGGAACCAAACACCTTCCCTTCATTTTGTAGTAAAGCTCACACACCGCATCAAACCCAAACTCTTTACATTTCATCATTCCAATAAACATAGAGTGGAAAGTCACACTATCAGGCTCAATCCCCTTCTCTTCCATCTCCTTCATCACAAGCATTGCCCCACTCACGTCTCTACATCTCATGAGCGCACTCATGAAAGCATTATAAGCTCCACAATCATACGCAAACCCTCTCTCGGGAATTTCATCGAACAGTTGGCGTGCTTTAATCTTATTCCTGGCTACACCAGCACCATGGATCAACGTAGTGAGTATCTGCAACGTGGGCTCAATCTCTCCACGATCCATTTCTTCAAAGAGCCTCAACGCTTCCCCAAAGTTACGTTTTTTACAAAACCCATCGATCCTAATCCCGTAAGTAACAGAGTTTGGTCTAAATCCTCTCTTCACCATCTCGTGATAAAAAAGCTCCGTAGCGGTAACATCACCCGCTTCCTTAAACCCTAATAGCAAAATATTCATCGTCTTCACATCTGGGTTAAACCTGTAATGCAACTTCTCGAAAACAGATCTCGCCTCCTTCATCTCCCTCTCCGTACAGAACGCTCGTAGAAGGACATTAAACTCGTCCACACCGAACTTTTTCTTAAAGATCTCTTTCTCCAGCCTCGCGAAAGCTGTTAGAGTCTCCTCGTAGGATCCGAATCTCGCGACTTTACAGAGGAGGATGCTCATTGACTTGAGGGTCAAGAGATTAGGGTAAGTGTTTCGAGTTTCGGAGATAAAGGACCAAGCTTGGTCGAAGTAACGCATGCGGGAGAGGATGTGGAGAGTTTTCTCGAAGGAGTCAGGGGTGGGAGGAGAGGATTTGAGGGAGTAGTTGAAGAACTCGAGGGCTTTGAGGCCGTTGGAGTGAGCGGCGAAGAGACGGCCGAGGACTTGGGAGACGAGGGGAGGTGAGAGGGATGATAGAGGGATGTGTTTGGTGAGGATTGGTTGGATTGGGTTGTTTGGGAAGGGATGGTCATTGATGAGTTTGGTGATACGTTCTATCTCTGCTGTTCTGTTTCTTGATGATAGGACCGGAGTGAGGAGACGATACGAATCGGAGGAAGTCTTCTTCAGCATTTTCAGGCAGAGAAATCGGAAGAGAAAAACTAAACCTTATGGGAATTATAAATCGTGTCCGGTACAGTTTAACCGATTCAAACCGGACCAAATAATATCGGGAATTTAACGGTATATGAAATTCGGTTTATATTGGTTAAGTAGATAATAAGGTTAACCTTGTGCGAGTGCGACGGCTCGGAAGTTCTTTTGACGGAGGCTGAAGTTTTTTATCTTTGATTGGATCTAGCGGAAGCTTGTGTAACGGTTCGGAGTATCTTCTTATTACGGTGAGTCTTGTTCGTGTTTGAAATTTTACTAGCGCACGGAAGGTGTTTGAGAGTTTATTGATTCTTCTTTGATTGAATGTTTTTGTGTGGGGGAGAGTCTTAGTGGATTTAACATAGAAAGATCTTACCTTTGTTACTATTCTCTCATGAGTCATGAGGGAGGGATGATTGGTTCAGGGACTATTGAAGGGTTTGGTGAAAAGAAGAACTTAGAAAGAAAGTAGTACTTTCTAGGTTTTACTTGCTGTAGTCAACTAGTGGTTAGCCAATGTAACTATGGTTTAACACCAGTTTTACTGAACAACTCGCTGCGCTTTGAATTTTTTTTGTTGCAAGTAATGTAAGCATATCACTTCTGGTACTGCAGGAAGTTTGGTGGTGGTTGTGGTGTTACTATAGTTGCAATGACAACTGAATCGGGAAAGAAGAAGAGAACTCCTCAGATTCTCAAGACAAATACGGCACTAAAACTTGTAAGATTTTCCTCCTCGAAGCAACCAGATTTTGGATTGAAGAAGTTAAAACAGTTTGGATCTTTCTTGAACACCATGTTTGCGTTAGCCTTCCTTACTTGCATTTATTTCCTTTGGTTTCATCTCATTGCTTTGTGTTTGCTCGTTTTCCAGGCTGAGAAGTGGGTTGCCAATATGACTACACCTGCAGAAGATGATCCTGTTGAGCCTGAACAAGAAATTCGACCACACAGGTGAAGGAGTATTTTTTTTTTTCTACATGTCAATTTGCCTATGTAAAGCTGAATATAAGTATCATTTAACCCCGCTGCTTAGGCTTGGACTTGGTGCTAAAGTGTCAAGGCAAATGAAGCGTAGACCTTCAGACGACCCTCTTGATCAAAAACTACAAGCCAAGTTTGATGCAGGGAGAAGAAAACATGCAAGAGCTGAGGCAGAATCTGCTGGTGCTAGTAAGAAGGCTGGTGATGACAGTGAGGATGATGATGACGAATCAGAAAGCAAAAGCCAAGCATTTGGAAAGAAAAACAAAAACACAAGTACGCCTCGTTAGTACTATAACTAGAATCATGAACTTGTTTGTATTTGGTTCATTGTTGGAACATGATTGTTAGAATAAGCATAACCTTTATCTTATTTAAAGTTCAATCCTCGTGTTATTATTACGACTCTATAGTTCATACTCATACAAAACTCTCTTGGCTGAGTAAACTACATAAGCCACTGGAAAGCTGAAACAGAGTAAAGAAAGTGAACTGAAAAAAAATACAAAAGTCTTTGTCAATGTTAAAAAAAAAGCTGTGGTTGTTGTCATTGCACAAGAAGGTCAACTAGAGATCTTTGACTGTGGTAGTGGAAATGAAACTGTACAGGAAAGACTAACTAGACAAAGAGACTCATCATAGGTTATTGTTCTGGTCCTCCATTGGTTCAGCTTGAACCATGTCTCTGCAGCTTCTGATGATCTCTTCTAATAAATCATCAAGGATCATTTCACTTGTGCCGGAACCAATCCAACCAATATCAAACCTTAGATCCATCCAGCTTCCTGTTTTAGCCATGTCTTTCTTAACCATCTGGTCCAAAGTGTGAGGGGAAGGCAAAGGTAGTAGATGCCAATATACCCCTTCTTGTGCCACTTTAGCTGCGATCTCCATGTCTGAGATTAGCTGGAGTTCAGGTTTCACGAACGAAATCCAAGGCCCTGGATTCAGTTGATTCCCACAGAAGTCAATGAGGACTTCATTGATACAGTCTTGAAGGAGATTCTTATCGTCGCAGAGTTGTGTAGAACAGAAAACAATGTTATCTGCTAACTCTGGCTCAAGAAGCTGTTCTGAGTAAAAGGGCCTTATCAAAAGCTCTTCCCAGCTCAAGCCTGAGGATTTCACAACTGCTTCAATGTATGCAAGTATCATCTCCTTGTCATCCATGCTTGTTTTGAGATTATTGGATTCGTCTGGTTGTGGAGAATCAGCTTCATCGAATCTTATACACAGTGGTTTTATTCTCATTTCAGCTGAATCGAACCTTGTGCTTGTTGTTGGGCTAATCTCATCATCTGTAAGCAGAGGTTCGAGTACAGACACGGGACTTAACTTTTCCTGCACATCAGTGGCAGGTTCTTTGGATTCAATCATCATAACTGAAGAACTTGGTGGAGATTCTGGAGGAGAAGAGTGCACTTGGTTGAACATTTCCTGGAGCACAAAAAAAAACTATGAAATCTCATTCAAGAAAACAGAGAATGTGTTCAAGAAGACAGAAGCTGTCTAACCTTATTCAATGGTTCCTTATCTTCCTCACCACATTCAAGCACATCTTCATCAACTTCTTCGTCTTGTCGGTTGGAAGAGCTGCTAGTTTCAGATAATGATTCTATCTCTGTCTTCTCAGCTTCCTTCGCATGGTCTGAAAGCATTGAATTTCATTTTTATCAGAACAATGAAACTGATTAAAACGAGAAAGAAGAAACAAGAAAATCACCTTTGGGGATAGAGACATTGATGGTAAACAATATCTCATCATCTTTGTCTGAATCTCCATCAGTAATACCATCTGTACATGAACCGCCTTGCAGAATCTTTGGTTTCTCGGTTGTTTGGCTTAGGGGGCTAGTCAAATCATGCGGAGGGCTACTTCTAGGGCTATTACCTGGTGAAGAGAACTCAGGGAGAGCAAGAATCTTCCCCAGGATTCTTGGTACCTCCTTATCTGATAAACTCACATCTATATCTCCATTTACAAGCATTTCAGACAAGTGTTTCCTTGCTGCAGCATACAAGCCAGACATAATCTTCTTTGAATATTCGCTTGTTTGGACAGTAACTTCTTTATCAGCCTTGCTCGTTCCTTCACTACAGAGTGGTTCTTCTTCATTGCTCTGTATCTCTTCTTGCACGCAACGGTTTTGGCTCCTATCAGCAAGAACATCACATGACTTCTTACCAAGGGTAGTAGGTTGTAGTCTTCTTTTGATTAAACCGTTAAGAAACCGAGAAAAGGTTCTTCCTGTTTTGGACTTGTTGCCTGATGAAGAATCAACATCCAAACTATTAGGAGCAGGTTTCAAAACAGCAATTGGTTTTGAAACATGAGTTGTTCTGTTTCTCCTCTCTTCTGATCTCCATTTCCTGCTGAAGAATTTATATTTCCTCTTCGGTACCTTCACCACAGACTCTTGTTTTGAGACTGCTTCAGGCTTTATTTCTTCTTCTTCTTCTTCTACTACTACTCTATTGGAATCATCTCCCAAGCTTTGAGCATCTGCATGTGAAATCTTGTTGAGAAGTGATTCTTCTTCAGAACCCAAAACATGAAAAGCCTCCAGCAAGTCCTTACATGTTTGGATCTCTCCTTCTTTCTGAACTATCAACCGCTTAATTATCTCCCTGAATTTTTCTTCACAAATCTTAGTCTCTTCATGTTCATCACCAGCAGCAATAGAAACATCCATGAGTTTCTGAACACTCTCCTGAGAGCTCTCAGAAGAACAGGTCAGCTGCTGCTTCTCATCCTTACCTGCATCAGTTAGTTATATAACCAGAAGGTTATTAGTTATCTTATTATAAAACAGAGACAAGTTTTTAATGAGAAAACAAAAGAACCTGCAAATCTTTTGCTACTACGTTTCATATCCATCAAGAAACGCTTCTGGTTAGATCTAAAGATGCTGATGAGCACCCACATACATCCTATTTGATTTATACCTTCTCTTCTCCCACAGTTCTTCTCCATAAAACAGTTCACACTAAAAACAAAAAGTAAAGAAACTGTTAATACAAGCAAAGAATAACTCATGTCTGAATAACAATAATAAAATAATATAAATACTTTTTTAATATTCATCATCATGCAGTGATCTGTTAAAACTCTCTTTTCATGATTTTGTTTTCATCAGTCACACAAATGCAGTGTGATTATTTACTGTTTTTGAGTGATCTGAAAAGAACTCGATACCTTTCCTTTGGAAGCAAGTGAACTTTTCTTTTGTAAAATGAAAACAAAAAAGGAGTCACAAAGATTAAAGAGGATACCTTTTAGAATCCGATCCGATACTTGCAAGAAGGTTAATAAAAATTCATTTTACAACTTTTTAGCTATTTTCCACAAACAGAAAAAACCTTTTTCTTATTTGCAAAATTATTATGAAATAGCGAAGTAACTAAAGCTCGAAAGACGAGGGTAGATGTTGAACATAGTATTCTCAGTTTAGCAGAAGACCCTGCTGCTTTTTCTCGCCAGAAAAAATGGAACCACTAAGCTCTCAATATTAAAAGAAAGAAAAGACCAAACTATTATAATATTGGAGAATTAGACATAAAGTTACTCGAGTTTGAATATATAGTAGAAGAAAGGACATACGCTATAGATGATAAGAAAGTGAGGAAACTAGATCATATGTCATTATTTACGTAAATCTCACCAGTATTGATATATTTACATACAGACATACTCACCTTTCACATAGTATTATAGTTGTGTGTTTAGCGCCTTCACGAGACTGTAATGAACGTGTTTGTATACGTATATACACAGGGAGAGAGATTCTTTGGTGAAGCTGGAGCAGTGTGGTAACAGTCCTCACTGTGGAAGGAGCCGCCCGCAACGAATACCGTGTACATGACGAGTGTGTCGGGAGGGATACAGTAGTCATTTCAAGCTTTATGGAAATTGCAAAGTCAAAACAATTATTAAAATATAGGAAAAAGTAGTCGAGCGAGATATTAATGAAGAAAAGTTCAAAAACGACATGCAGTCTCTTCCAATATGACCACATTTTGCTAAAAGAAAATGTAATATACAAATCATACTACGTGACATAAGATAAATAAGTTTTGTGGCTACTATGAGTTTAATTAATAAGCTGAAGTTGATGGTTTAAGGTAATGTCACCAAACCAAGTTTATTTAGTTTTTATTCTGGAGATGAAAATTATGGTTTAGTAAGCTGAAGTTGATAGGTTAGACTTATGTTTTTTTTAGCAATTAGAGGATCGTGTTTTGTTGATTGATCTTTATCTACTGCTGTTACATGTAGATGAACCTTTCTGAACACTAATTTAAATTTATATTTGTAAAACAATAAAGGTAATTAGACTGATCGATCAAGTTTCAATCGTGTTTAGTTTTTTTTTGTTTTTGTTTTTGTAAAATTCAATCGTTACATTTTCAATTTGAATAGATTAGCAGAAACCACAGAATATTAAAAATCATAATTTGTTATTATTGTATATGTCTATGTTCCTAAGATCAGCTGCTAATCCTAGATTCAACCCATCATCCTCAAGGTTTCTTTATCGCTACGAGGTTTGGCCACCTCCTATATCCTAATTCTTATAATTTAACGGAGACAAACTAAGTTCGCATCCTAAGAAAGACAATTGAATAGCAGAATAGCAATTGCCGCACTCTATTTATGATGGCTTTGATGTAAACTATGATTAGCAGAATATGAAAATATACAACATCGATGTTGATCTTTGGTAATTTAGACCATTAGCTAATAAATCACCTACTCTTGTAGTTAAAGTTTATATATATCTCTATAATATTATTTGAGAAGTCGGTTTCCTATATGTCGCTATCACGTTCATTCTCATGATGGTTGATTACACTGATACACTTAATGAATTAAAAATAATATTATTAATTCTTTTATTTAGTTAAATTTTCAAAAATTTCCAAAAATATATGTAATAAAAAGGAAAATTTTTATAAAGTCATATAACAAATTGAAAACAAAAAATATATGTATATATTATGATTTCATAAAAAGGAAAAGTTCACAAAATAGTAATAATACATTTAAAATATTTTTAAATAACATAATATATACTTTTAGAGTAATAAAAAGATTTTATAATTAGTATTATTGATTTTTTTATTTATTTTTCATATATTTAGTTGGCTATAATATCTTTCAATTACATAAAATATCTATAAATTATATTTTACTTATATAAAATTATTTTCAAATACAATCACAATTTTGTGTAATGCTTATTTTTAAGATATTAAAAACTAAAAATAAATTAACAATAAACATCGCTTGATCAAATAATTAACAGTTATTTTAATGAGCTAGATATATGATATTTTATCATTATTAAAATTATTTGTTTTCTTAATAATAGATTTTCTTTTAAATTTTATGTTTTTATGTTTGTGAAACTAAATATAATCATAATCAAGATACCAAAGCAAATATGAATTCCCAGTTTTAAGATCCTTTAAAATAAATTTCATTTTTCATTCAATAAATCTAAAGATAAAATTATTTAGAATTTATAAATATTTTAATTATCATAAATATTGATATATGTTCATGAACTTCCAAAAATGTATCAACTACTTATGCATGTAACCTTCTATTGATCATAGGATAATTCAAAACATGTTAACAAATGAAAATAAATAATAACCAACTCTTACAATTTTAGTTCTTTTGTAAAATTTATATATATGCATAAGAATTTAGTATATTATTGTTATATTAATTTACGTATTTTGGAATCATACACTTTAGTTAATTTTTCTAAATTATATTTACATATCTAAGACAACACCCACTATATGAAAATAAGTAACTAATTAAAAAATTAATATATTTTTAAAAATATTACATTTAAGTTCAGAGATGCAATCCAATTTATCTAAATGATAATTAAATCAACCGTAAAAACAACAAAATCGAAATATAACATATATAACATTATAGTATAGTTAAAGTAATATAATATTATTAATATAAATGATGCATAGAAATTATAAATTAATTTAAAATTAAAAATAAATAGCAATCAATTATTATCATATATTTACTTTAAAAATATTTATACCCGTGCATGAGCACGGGAAAATCACCTAGTATATATATATATGTATATTTATTCTAAAATGTATGCATATATTTGATGAATAAATACATTGATTTCGTACTTATATGCCCTGGTAGTTATAATGTCCATTATGCAATGTAATGATCATCCCATCAAACGAAAGATATATTACCCTTGTATATCTTTTGTAATCAAATGAAAATTTGAAATGAATACATGCCGACAGTTTCAAACACGCAACATACACTTCCAAAAATTAACAAATATTTATAATGTTGAAGTTGAGATGTGAAGGTTTGTTTTTGTATATACTAACCAAAAAGGGTTCATTTGAAAGATTAGGGAATGTTTTGCGGTAAAAAACGACGACGTTATCTCTTTACATCTGTACCCAACATGTAAGAAAACAAAGCTGTGAAAATGAACATGCCAATCATTTTTTCCATAGGATTCCTCCCAACCCCAATATCTTTTAAATTTGTCTTTTAGACAACTTTATATAAGTCTAAAAGGTTCATTATAGCGTTATATCTATTGAAGATAAATCTTTTAACTTTAATAAGATGTTCAGTTTAACATTTTGAACTTAAAAATAACTATAGAAAATAAAGGGTGAAGTCGTGAAGATATATTAAAATTCCAAAGTCGTCATATTTGACTAAACTTTCGCTTAACATAAGCAATTATAATTTCATTACAAAAAATGATGTCACCAGCATGCAGTTGATCCAACCAACGTGTTTGCGTAATTTTCCTGAAAATGATTAAAATGCGTGAGTGTTAGTCTGTTGAAACTAAAACATCACTAGTGGACGGTTTCATATGATTTGCACTAATATCAATTATGAAAATATATAATTTCATTTTTGTACTATTTAAGTATCCTTGGCTGTTTGCAAAGAATACCCACCAATAAACTAACGCCATGTAGTTATATATAAATTAGATAATGTGACTGAAATACGCACTTAACAACTAACGCACCCCAATTTCAATATTGTATCAATAATATACCTCTATATTATATTCACTGTTGTACATAACAAGCTTCAAATTAAGATTTTGAAAAGTCTGTAAATGATTGAGTTAGGTTTGTGCGATGTATTTGTCTCTTGCTAAAACACGTATATTAGATGTCTGTTGCGTTGTATATTAATAGTAGACTCTATATGTACCACAAAAGTACAAAACATTATTAGTGTCATGAATAAACTAAAACATCAGATGAATTTATATTCAGTGAACAGTATAATATAATATATGCATCTATATACGTGTCTAAGTAATTTAAGAACATATGAAATAGTAAACCCACAAACAAGACAAAATAAAACAAGATTTGGAAGAAGATGGTCATCATAGTCTTACCAACTATGATCCAACTGTATAACTTTAAACCTTATCCCTTAGTCTTGTTATTGGGTAGGTAAAGGGTCTGCACATCTTGATGGTTTTCTCTTTAGCAATTCCATCACCCGTGCACAAGTAATGCTACTAAAATAGTTTTTGTCACTCGTGAAGGGGCTTAATGATTTTAATGACCTATATCCCACACGGCCCATATATTAATGGCCTATTGCACACTGCCAATATATGTGTTTCACTTTTTTTTTCTTCTTCTCTTGATTCTATCCCTAATACGAAAAACTTGTTCAACTTGGAATTGGTGATCTCACTTTGATATCTTTGTTTGAACAATATGTATGTATTATTAGAGTGTAATAATTGAAACTATCCTTTTCACATGCAATCAAACAATAAAATTGCGGGCGTGAGCTTGTTTGCTTAATGATCTTGATTTATAACATTTAAAGCCTATAGACTAATAATTACTACGCGGCTAATGAAACCAATACGTTAGGTTTTGAGTTTTGACGACATCAAACCTGAAGAATGTCTGAATTTTTTTTTATTTTTTTTATATCAGAAATTTCGATCTCACTTTCCTTAGGTTTCAGACATTTATCTTGACGAAGACAGGAACCATCACTTCAGTTTCTTTGGTCGGTTCATTGAAAGTCAGAACCTTATCCATTATTCTAAGCTTCCTTTATAAATCTGATTATGCATATGTGATAAGGTTGTATATCAAATACTATTGATAGAGAATCTTGTTTCTGCAAAATACTCTGTTTCTTTATATGGACCGGAGTAACGAAACGTTAAAGATTGCAATCCAAGAAACGGTTGGCACTTGAAGACCTTGCGGCAGCGAAATGGGGGAATCAGTGGAGACTAGCAAGAGAGATATGGTGATGGATGAGAAGATCTATATAGCGGTGACAGGGAGAGATCTGGAGAGCAAATCTAGTCTCGTTTGGGCGATACAGAACAGTGGAGGCAAAGAGTTTTGCATCGTCTATGTTCATCAACCGATCCAGAAACTGCGGAAAGAGAAGGAGAGAGCACACAAGAGTTTGGACAAGTACCTTAATATATGCAGGCAAATGCAGGTATTGATCCATTTGTTTTTGATTGGACAAGAGATGTTTGATTCCTAAAGTTCCATTTAACTTTTGTGAATTAGGCCAGTGCAGAGAAGATATGCATTGAAATGGATTCAGTAGAGGAAGGTATCCTCCAATTGATTTCTAACCGCGGAGTCAAGAAACTTGTCATGGGAGCAGCAGCTGATAGACACTATTCAATGTAAGTGGTTTAAATTAACTTGCATAGGTTCAACCTTTTTACTATCTTTAAGTATAGATGTATTGATCAAGCAATGAGTTCAAATGTTTGCAGGAGAATGAGAGACTTGCAATCCAAGAAAGCTATTTACATTCACAGAAAAGCCCCTGCTACTTGTCATATATGGTTTACATGCAAGGGATACTTGATATGTTCAAGGTTTGGCCAATCAGAGTCATTTCTTTAGGTGTTTGATTGAGTTTTTTCTAGTGAATAACTTGTCTCACAAATGCTTTTTAATGATATCAATGCAGGGAAGGTAGGAGAAGAGATAATTTATATCTAGAATGTGCATCATCAAATTCTTCGAGCCAATCCGAGATAACTAATGGAACTGAAAGTGTTCCAAGCTCGAGTATGGTCAAAGTTGATGGTGAACTGATTCAAGTAGATGATGCAATCAACAGGGTACATGTATTAGTTCCTCCAACATGTTTTTTTCCTGGATTGGAATCATCAAACCTTTTCTAAATATATCTCTAACCAAAATGTAGGCTAAACAGTCAGAAAATGTGTATATCAATGAATTGACACATCGGAAAGAAACAGAGAAGTCACTAAGCAAAAATAAAGAACTTGAGAAGATGATAAGAAAGCTTCAATACAAATACAGCTTATCAGTGGAAGCATTGAGAAGACTTAGGCAAGAACGTGAAGAGTTGAAGATAGAGCTTAGAGAAGCATCAAAGCTGAAGAGTAACCGCAAGAACCATGGACCACCTCAGTACTTCCTATGCCCCATTACACAAGTAAGAGCCATTAATGCAAGATCAATCAAAATGTTATAAATGATAAGATAAGTCAAAATCAAGAATTTTGATTGTAGGATGTGATGGAGGATCCACATGTAGCAGCAGATGGTTTTACATATGAAGGAGAAGCCATAAGTAGTTGGTTTGAGAGAGGACATGAGACTTCTCCAATGACAAACAAGAGACTTCCTCACACGTGCTTAGTTCCAAATCTTGCTCTTCGATCTGCAATTCAAGAATGGCTTCAAGCATCAAAGCTCATGAAAGATTAGCATCTCCAGTGACCAACATTAAGTCCTTAGTGGCTAATCTAATCAAGGATGCTCACTCATCTCTAATGGCAAACATTTTGTTTTAGTTCAGTCATTTTCCTAACACTAGCTAGCTGGTGTTGGTTGGTATGAGTTCAAGTCTTTTGTAATATTCTTTATTATTAATGATATTGTTTTTGTAAATCATTATTTTTTCAGCACTACAATAAATTTGATTTAAACGTAAAACATTTTAACATATAAAATATGACCTTGACATATTCGTTGACGAAAAATCTAATTGAGTTCTATATAATGTTTTTTTTTTTCTATCGTATGGTGCAATTTTTCAAAGGTCAACTAAAATATGGTTTATATTTTATATGTATAATAATCGACATTGACTAATCTCCTTAAGTTTGATTAGGCACCAGACATAATATACAAACTCCAGATGGAATATTCGAAAGAACAGAGTAACACCAGAAAGGGACGACACATGCTTCCATCGGATCTTTTCTTTCTTGATTCCAAATGTATCTGAACATAGAAGGCAAAACACACAAGTCTCTTGTCTTAAAGGAACCAGTCTTAAGATTTTCCAACACTTATCTCCTAGAAAGTATAGAGTTTGAGGGAGCAAGAGAGAAAAACATGGCAGGGGAAGAAGAAGCAGCAGAGAGAATATATATTGCAGTAGGGAACGAAACTGCGAAGAACAAGTCAAATATCATGTGGGCAATAGATAACTCTGAAGGGAACAAGATCTGTATCGTTCTTGTTCACCAACCTGCTCAAATGATTCCTGTTTGTAAGTTCTTTCTCTCCACCCTCACTCCTACAACTCCTAAAGCCCATAGATTCAATGTGTGTGACATGAAACATAGCTTAAATTTTTTAAAACATTTTCATTTCCCAGTGGGTACCAAATTCCATGCTGCAACGGTAGATGAAGAGTTAGTGAGAGCATACAGAGAAAAACAAAAGGCGAAATCAGACAAGATTCTTGATGAGTACCTTAGAATTTGCCTTCAGAAAGGGGTATGCGCATATACACGAATATGAGATATGAAGTTTGTGTCATTTCTAAGGAGACTGGTTTTTTTGCAGGTCCAAGCAGAGAAGCTGTGCGTTGAGATGGACTCGATAGAGAAGGGAATTTTGCAGATAATTTCTGAGAAGAGAGTCAGAAAGTTTGTAATGGGAGCAGCTGCAGACAAACACTACTCAACGTATTGTGTCTTCCACTTCAACCTTTTGTGTGTTCTGCTTCACATGTTTATTTACACTTCTCTGGTGTTCAATTTGCAGGAAAATGGTGGATTTGAGATCGAGTAAAGCTATCTTTGTCAGCCAACACGCATCCGTGACTTGTCACATTAGGTTTGTCTGCAAAGGACATCTAATCCATACAAGGTTCAAGCCAGAGTCTTCTTTTTTGCCATATAGATATATAGAGACAGTAGTTAACGCTTTATTACTTAAGACATGATGTGAGAAACCAATGCAGGGAACCTAGAATGGATGTCCAAACTCTCTTATATGGCTTTCAGGGGCCTATGTCCACACAAAGTAGCATCAATTCAGATATGGAAAGCGAGGCGGAGGAGGAGGAAGAAGAAGAGGAGGAGAGAATATCACGAACCAGCTCATGTCGGTCTGCTAGTACATCGTCATACTTTGGAGGATCAGAAGCTTCATCAGGTATAGATGAAGTTTCATCAATTATAACGGAAGAGACATCAAACCACTCACCTCCTCCTTCTTTACCTGTAAGCCCTCTGATCCTAAGAGAATCCTTTTATTTTGTTTGTTACTTTCCTTTTGCATTTTGCCTGACTCGTGGGTTGCTAACGCTGCTGTGATCCACCAGTGCAGCGGGATGGGACGAGGCATGATAAACTTCATGATCAACTCCACCAAACTCTTGCATAGGCTTGCCCTCCAAAACCACAAGCAGCCTGAGTGAACCCCAACCATTACCCTGAAAAGCTACAGAGGAAAAAGCAGAAATGGTGCAATGATTACAATCTTTAGTTACAATGCATGTAGTATTTGTAAAACCTATTCGTGTGAGGTGAAGGTCTAGATGTATGTTAGAAGTTATATTTGGACGAGTGTTGGCCAAACAATGAATAGTTTAAAATAACAAGTGATGCTTATCTATCAAGCATTTACTTCAAAGCTGGATCAATTCTATCATCTATATAGCCATCTTCAAACTCAGTCTTCGGTGAATAAATGTCACCTTCCATACTAAGTAAGTTAGATACTCCTCCCAAGCTGCTAAATTCGTATATATAACAAAGTATGCGCAAGAAGTATGCTGCTAACTTGGTATGCACTTGAGTAAAATATATAACAGACTCTCTATAAAATTAGGCCTGGGCCTTTAATCTAAACTATTAAAACTTTTGTACTTAACTCTAATTTTTCCTAAAGAATTACAATTACATGCCACTGACCTAAACCATAATTAACACTTAAATCAAACCATCTAAATTTAATTTAAATAGTTAACCAAACATTACATCTATACCACACTTAAAATAAATTGCTCAATAATCAAATCTTAAATACTTATGTCACGTATCTATTGAAATCTAACCTTCTAAATTAGGATTAATAATAGGAATATTCTCTCATTTATATCAACCTTACTATCAAGCAACATCTAACTATAAAATAGGAATAATAATACTTACATTAGCATGCATATATATATCCACACAACTTCTCAGTTTTAATTGGGGACAAGAAGATGTATATGTTGATATGTATGACAACTCAAAGATATTTAGAGATAAGGTTTGAATTTTAGCAATGTTATAAAAGTAAAACAAAGTTATGTAGTTTTTTTGTTAATAAGAAAAGACTCCTTTTGGTTTTCTGGAAATAAAAGTAACATACACTTAATGGGATTTTGTTCTTAATCATATATATTTATTATATATGCTATTGATGATCTTTATTAATTTTAACAAAAGAAAAGAATTACGAATCTATGCTTAAAAGCTATTTTCTATATAGTTTCAGTAGCATCAGAAAATTCACTTACATTATAAAGAATTCATGACAACAAATTTTTAAATATTTGTGTATAATATTATTTATTAAATAATATACAATTTTTAAAAGTAATTAAGTATGTATTGCTAATAGTTTATTTTTTAATTACACACTAGATTTGATCCGAGTTCGGGTTTATTTTAGTAATTAAATAAATTATCTATTCTATTAAAATATAAGTATAAAGCGATACTTGTCTATTTAGGAGATTTATTATAGATTTTTATTACATTTCATTTATTGTTTTTTTCTTAATTAATCATTTCATTTATTAAATTCACTTCATTTATTGTCTTACCTAAATATGAAATCTGGATGAATACGATTTTGATGTATAAATAACTTAAAATACACAAAAAACTAATGTATCCAAATGTTCGGATATTTATACAAAAATTAATCATATTAATCGATTCGACTCGATTATTTTGAATCCAAACTAAAAATAACCTAAAAAAATAAATAACCAATAATACCTATATTATTTAATTTGATTCAGATTAAATTTTTATGTATAGCAACTTAAAATATCCCATTAATTATATAAAGACACAAAAATATATAACAATAGTTATGAAAAATAAAATCTCAAGTTATAAAAATATAAAGTTTAAAACCCGCACGGGCGTGCGGGTCAATATCTAGTTTATACTTAAACTGAAGTCCATAGTACAACCTGAACTGAACTTGCGGTTTTGGACCGGGTTTGGACCAAAGGAAAAAACCGAATGGATTCTGTAGCCCAAACATTTCGGTTATGGGCCGGTTCGGTTGGAAACCCATATCCAAATAAGTAACCGAAGTAAACCGAGCATTAAGTAATCTTGTCTTACGCGTGCTTAGGGTTACCGGTTACACAAGACACGATAAGCCTCTTCGTTTCTTGAACTCGTGTGAGGCGACGAACTGTAATTCCCAAAATCTCTCTCGAGTATTGATCATCATCATCAAACTGGCGACTATAAATAACCTAGCTTCTCCATGTTCTTCTTCATTGGATCATTTTAGAATCCAATTGGAGGTATTGTCTTCTCTCTCTCTCTCTCTCTCTCTCTCTCTCTCTCTCTCTCTCTCTCTCTCTCTCTCTCGTTTCGAATCTTGTTCTTCTTCTTCCGTAATTTCGATTTTAATTGAGTTCAATCAGTTAGTATTTTGGTTCGAATTGATTATGGGAACAAAGGTAGTTAAACTGATTTTGGTTTTTAGCTTTCTTTCTTGTTTACGGTTTATATGTTAATTGAGTTTGTTGCTTTGCTTTCTTTCTTTTTGCAGATGGATTCAACATCATCTTTTGACCGAGAAACCAATAACAAAGATGATGCAGGAAACATTGAATCACCATCACTAGCTAGTGGAGCAACGTCTCAACTGAAGAAATTGAAGCGTATTCTCCCTACAAGGTCTGAAGTCTGGAATCATTACACATGGACTAAAGAATATTGAAACAAGTGTGTATGTAACTACTGTCAGAACACATTTTCGTGTCTCACAAGCTCAGGGACTTCAAATTTGAAGAGCCATCTTGAGAAGTGTAAGACATATCTTGCTTGGTCGGCTGGCCAAGAAGATAAGCAGCCACAAATTGACGATGAAGAGAAACTTAAGAAGGCAAAGTTGACTGCAGACCAGCTAAGAGAAGAGACGAATCAGATGGTTGTGTTAGGATAATTGCCGCTATCATTCGTTGAAAGTGTAGCATGGAAACATTTATGTGTCAAGGTTAGTAACTGATGTCTTCTCTCTTTATATGTTTAACACTAATAACCTATAACTAATCTCTTATCTTTTCTATGTGTGTAGGCAAAATTTGGTTACATTCCTCATTCAAGAAGAACTGCGACTAAAGACATTATCAAGATGTATGTGGAAAGGAAAGCTGCACTGAAGAAATGGTTCTTGTGTACCAATCAACATGTATCTCTGACAACAGATATTTGGGTGTCACCAACTACATGTATTACTTTATACATTAGACGTCTTTAAATTCTTTATATATACTAGCAAGCTGATCATGGGGTTCTTACTGTTCAATGTATCTAGGTGTGAGTTATATGATCATCACAGTGCATTATATTGATGCTTCTTAGCGGTTGAGGAAGCTGATCATTGGGTTTAAACATATTACGGATCACAAAGGTCAGACTATAGAAAATGTTCTTCTAGAGTGCTTGTGTGACTGGGGAATAATAAATGTGTTTTGCATAACCGTTGATAATGCTACTGCTAATACTTCAGCTTTGAGGAAATTTCAGAGTAGTTTTGGTTTAGGTTCTGATCAGGCTTTTGTGTTAGACGGGGAGTTTTTACACATGAGATGTAGTGCTGATATATGGTGTTTTTAGCATATTCTAACAATGTTTTCTAAAGTGTTTTTGAGTCTTTATCAAGTCTTTTTAGTCCTTTTCAAGTCAATACATGTCTGGAGTTGCATTGGATGGGAGATGGACCAGTTGGAGGAAAAGAGTGCAATTTGATGATTTTTACGAAGAACAGTCTGCTGGACTGTTCCCGAGTGAGCGGAGCAACCCGATTGCATGTTCCTGCGGGAGAGATTTTTAAGAAAATTACAACATATTTCGGGATTTGCCCTAATTCTCCTATTTTTTCTCTCCAGCCGCCAGCAGCCTCCATATATCTTCTTTTCCTCTTTTCTATTATTTTGTACGCTACTTTTTACACCAGAAACCAGATTTGAGGTTTTGGAGATTTGTGATTTCATATTTTGTAACCTTTGAGGGAGAAGGATCTCTACAACCTTTAGAGAAGATTTCTAAACCCTCTTGCTTATTATTTATTGATTCAGACATGTTTTCTTCATCTCTAATCTCTATGTTTTCTCTGTTCATGGCTGAGTAGTTAATTTGCTTAGTCTAGGGTGCTAGGAGATCATAGATTCATGAGCTAAACACAAATAAGGATTTATGTTTTGATTGTCTACATTCATTGTTGAACTTACTGCCTGCATTAAACTAGTTATTTAATGCCTGATTCTAGGTTTAATTTATTCACAAAAAGTGTTTTAGGTTGCTAGAAATAACATGAATGGGAAATTTGTCCCTAACCAGCGAAAGTAGATGTTAGGGCAAATTGTGAACTTATGGAATCTGGTCTTAATGTTTATCATCTTTCTCTGATTCAAACGACAGTTTAGATATTAGGAATGCATGATAAAAGAATGGATGCCACGAGAGTGGATCAATCTTGTCTTGTTGTTCGAGTTTAAGACTTGCTGCGATTTGTTCCTTGAATAGATGTTTGGTTCATGCTCATTGATTTCCGATCATTCACCTTAGACTTAGATATTTTATCATCTGAAAACCCAACCCAAATCATTCTATTTCACTTGCTTGTTTTATTTTCTTAATTTAAAAACCATATTGTTTTAGCTTAATATTGATCCTATAAAAATAAAGTGTAATATTTGGTCTTTGTGGATTCGATCCTCAAGTACTACATTGAACCTCTTATTTGAGAGAGTAGCTTGAAGGTTGATTTTAGCATATCAAATTTGGCGCAGTTGCCGGGACCATCTTTTTACCTTTATTTTTTGGTTATTTATTTAGTCTAAAACCTCTAACTTGCCTTATCCTATTTGTTGCAGCTAATGCTCCAGGTGCATAACCAGTAGACATACTCGAAGCAACGCACAAGGAGATTTAGTTACACTTAGCAACCAGGAGCTAGCAAGGTTAGAAAGAACCAATCGACAACAACAAAGGCCGAACAACGCCACAATGGGTGACTACGGCACTCCAGAACAACTCGCTGCTGCGTTGCAACAGATGCAACAACAGATGCTTCAGATGCAGCAAACCATCCAAGCTCAGCAGGATGCTGCTCAACAGGCTGCTCTCGCGCAGCTGGAACAGCCAGAGCAAACTGCTCCGATCGGGCAGAGAA